GACGTTATTAGAAAGCTTGAGAAGTTGAGGAAATAGGTTCCTAGTATATTGAGGTGACGATTAGGATCTTTAATTTATAAGAATTATTGTTTATAAGTTAATTCTTTGATTTTGTCGAATTCCAAAGGGGAATAGAATTAAGTTAGAAAATAGATTGATTTGAGTTTTGTTGGGTTGATTCTTATTGATTTTCATTGAATAAATTGTTATTTGATTTTTACTAAATTTTGTATATAGTTATTATAGAATTTTTATTAAATATTGGATTGTTTTTGACTAACTTTGTCATTATTTAATTCGGTGCACACTTAAATTCCAGGCCTGGCACACTAACGCAAATCTGCGTAAAGTACCCGTTAGGTAACGGCTATTTCCGGCACACAGTCGTGTCAATAATCATTGTAGAAAGTCGGAAAAATAATATAGTACTTTACAGTATCATGTGATGGCAAGGGAGTGGTGGCTTTAGACAGCATGTATGATTAGATACTGTAAATGCTATTCAAATATGTTTTTTTTTTTTAACTTTTTTGTTTTATTTTATTGCTGATAGATTTCTTTGACTAATTAATGTGATAAATAAATGGCTTCTTGATAAATTAATTTTTAAAAAATGATTATAGTCTGATTCTATGTAAAAATTTTAATCTTTGCAGCAAAATTTTAAAAATATAACAATCATAAAAAGTGGTATTTTTGTGATAAAAAATAAAACACAGATCAATTCTAAGCATAAAATATTGTAATTTGAAAAATTCCTCACTGAACACTTAGGAGTGAATAGATCAACTATTCAGGAAAGCATTTCTCAGCAACTTATTTAACCATTTGGTTAAGCATTTTCAAGTTTCTGGGCAACACTTAGAAGTTTACATTGATGCAATGATTCTTTGTAATAAGATCAGAAATATTGTATGAATAGTTTATTAAGGGTCACCAATAAACCAATGAACAAAATCTTGATTTTTAGCCAAACCTTCATAACTGAAAATTTTTAAACAAAGTCCAAAATTTTCCCCCAATTCAATTTAACCAGGTTCTACTGTACTGATTATCCAAAAAAAATATCCAATGAGATATTGAAATATATTTTAAAAATTTAAATTAAAAATAAATTTAATATAATGTGTAGATAATGTTATTGGTAGTAGTTTCTACAGAATAAACATACAAGGAAAGAACACGACTGGCTACCCACTGATTTTGATCAGATTGAACATGGTGAAACTATATCAAAAATGAAGGAATATGTGTCTGAGCTTTTTGTTCAGTGTACCTTGCAAATATTAGATTTTGATGTTTGAAAGTTCAAAGATTTGTAATGTATAGTTATGTCATGCTGAAAACATGAGTTTGTTAAAGTGTCGTTAATTAACAAGTAATACTTTTTAACTTTTAAATTCATACTAACCTTGCATACATTTCCAGCATGAAAGCCATCATTGTATGCAAGGTCAGTGTAAAGTAATTTACAGAATAGTTTCAGCTTTAGTAATAATTTTATATAACTAATAAAAAGAATCATTAAGATCACCAAGATCATGTTTAATTGAAGTAATTCTTATTAATATTATTAGTTTTAATTTCTAATTTTCTACTTCTTATCATTTTAATTTTAATGATATTTTTACAGTTATTATTATTTTATGTCCAACAAACAAGACTACAAATTACCTCTATCTCCAATTGTTAATGCATCATCACTTCCACTTTTGTCATGACTTTCATCAAATTCTCTCTTAAAAATTGACAGGAGTCCCGTGATACGATAATCTAAACGCACATTCAAAATGAACTAAAAGTAAAATAATAATTGTTAATTAAAACTAGTAATAAACACATTCAAACAAATATCATTTACATACTTGCAATATTTCAATAATTTTTAATTTTGTATCCATTACTAATGTATCTTCAGCACCAGTTATAGAAGCTTTTTTTTGTATGGTTGCAGCAACTTGTTTTGTCATACCTGCTGTACCTAATACCATATTAGTCATAACTGCACCCATGTTTCCAATGGATGTTAATACACCGCCATGAGCTGAGAAAGATAATGTATATTTAAGAAAAATTAATTAAAAAAAGTATTTAAAAAATCAAAATAAATACAGTTAGATCTTATAAAGATTAATATTCATAAAACATAATACATCCATAGTTAAAAGTAAGTTTTATGTAAGTATTTCATTTTAAATTTTTACAATAAACTTTTGTCTTAAAGTATAATTCTCTAAACAGTAAAATAACAAAATTATAAATAATTAGTGTTTTATATAAAAATATTCATTAATATAACTTTTTAAATAAATTCAAAAATAAAATAAATAATTGCAAATATGTTGCAAATAAATAATTGAATTGAATAATAGGCTTTAGTTTAGTATATAATAAAAGTTATTATACATAAAAAAAACTAAATAATTTCTGCTAAATACAAATTATTTTTCAGAAATTACATCTTCAAAATATAATAGCATTAGCAATTGTCTTACATACATATCAATATATATATATATCTCCACACATTAATTTTCCAACAAATGTTTTAATAACAAATACTTAATGTTTTCAGACTTATTCAATGTCCATCTTCAGGCAATTTAACATCAAAAATCACAAATAGAACTACAGAATAGAATTACAGTCTGCAAATATACACAACCGAAACCTAATATATTAAGCAAATATACATCCAGAACTACTGTAAATGATCAGACTAAATTTGGATATAATGATAATAAATTAGAGATGAATTTGTTCATTTCTAATTTATAATCAATCAATTCCAGTTTAATCAAAATTAATTAATTAAATATTATAATTATTAATTTTAATATGAGATGGCACCTAACGTCTAGTGCCAAATTCATTTCTAATTTATAATCAATCAATTCCAGTTTAATCAAAATTAATTAATTAAATATTATAATTATTAATTTTAATATGAGATGGCACCTAACGTCTAGTGCCAAATTCATTTCTAATTTATAATCATTATATCCAAATTTAGTTTGATCATTTATGGCAGTTGTGGTTGTATAAATACAGTCTGCATTTGAACACTCAAAAGCTTATAGAAAACATTACAAAAGTTAATTTAAACTGATTTTTTTTCATTTACTATATTTCTGTAATGGACTAAAATGTCCATTTACTTGTTATCTTGTGAAATGTTTAAATTCTGTTAAGGGTAACCTGGTAGGCTAAGCATTCTATTTACTATATTCTTTGAATTTTGTAATGTTTTTTTTAAAACTTTTAAAGAGAAATTTCAAATTAAAAATTTTTTTTAACTTTAAATGTGGGGACTGTACAGTACATACTATTCTGTAGTTTTATTTAGGATTTTTGATGCAAGGTTGCCTGAAGATGGACATTGAATGTTCCCGAAATTAGTAGTATCTCTCATTAAAAAATATATTGGAAATTAAGATGTGGAGATATATATTTAAAACAAAAACCAGTCACTCAATTGTCTTAACACACAGGCCTTACCAACATTAATAATTTTCAAAAATTCTTAAAAAGAAAAAATAATAATAATGATTTAATATATCATTTATAAATTGTTTTAAAATGCTATCTCTCTTGTATCTTAACAAATCCACCTTCAAAAAAAATTATTATATTCTCTGAAAATGCATTCAAAAATCCCTTTACTTTATTTTATTCTAGTAAAAAGCAAAATCATTATCCTTTCTTATTCATTACTATTTAATTGTATAATTAAACAAAAAATATATTATTTCAATTATAACAATGATAACCATTGAATCAGTTTGGTTTAGTTAAGCACAACACAACACTTTTGTAATGATTAAAATCCCAATATAAAGAATTATTCCCAATAAATATCTATGTCAAAAATTAATTTTAATCCACAATATGATGAATAAATACATAATATACTGTGCCTATACAAAGAGAAAGTTCTAATATGTTAACTTTTGTCAAATAATTATGTATCATATATTGACAGCTTGTTTCTTTCAGAAATATAAAAAATGACTATGACACTATACTAGGGGTCGGCAACCTTTTGAGTCGGAAGAGCCAAAAATCACAATTTACAAAATTTCAAAGTTTTTAAAGAGCCACAAAATTTTTTCTTGCCAACAATAAATAGTACTCGCATAAATAAAGTTTTCTGATAAAAAAACTCATCTATTTATTCAGAATTGTCTTGCGTCAAAAGTGAATTAAACCTCATAGAAACATCCGACGATGGCGTCATTCGAGAGCTTCCGACGGACTGACAACAGTGACGACGCGTGTCATGGGGGAGTAGTGCGATGAAAAGCGAGTACAGGTAGACCTCCTATAACGCGGTAGATACGTTCCTTGAAAATATCATGTTGTGGGAAATTGCGTTATAGGAGACACCAACTTAATACAAAAACTGGGATTCGGTTCTAAAAAGAGAAAAACTTGGCGTTTGAAAAGCGTTTTTTGAATTTTTCAAACCAGCCATTGCTAGCCACGAATTTAACACTGGTTTCATCAGCCGACGACTGTCCCATTTGTTTTAAATAATCAAATATTTTTAAGGCTTTGTGTTTAAGTGCACTTTTATTTAAAGGCAACCGTTTCTTGTTCATATCTTCTACCCATAATATTAGCGCTTGTTCCATTTTTTTC